TTTTGTTGCTGCTCCTCAAAAAAAAGTGCTTCAAAATTTTGTTTTAAGATTAAATTTCAGACAGTTCATTCAAATGATACATTAATAAGGCTTTTATTCATTATATTTTGACAAAATGCAATTTTTGTTAACATTTTAGTCAAAACACTATATTTGCCTTTTTCTCCATTTACAACTTTTGGACTTAATCCTTGTTTCAATGTGACGGGTCACAGTCAATGACTAATTTAATAGTCAATGCGTCATTTTTTTATTTATTAGTTTTTTTATAGTCGACTAATCATTAGGGATGCACCGATAAGAAAATTTCAGCCGATATCGATATCCGATATAATTATTGCTGTTACGGCCGATAATCAATATTTACCAATATTACACAAACACACAAATTATATTAAACATATACGCACTTGGGTCTGTTTTGATACTGTAAATAAACAAGCAGACCTCTGCCAGGCTCCCTCCTTCAGTTATTCCTGGCTGCACAGCGTTAATATCACTATCATGATGAAACAGATGCTGCTCAACCAACCAGCTCCTCTCCCAAAACACAAACACAAAGATAAAAAGAGGAAAGTCAATATCGGACATTAATATTGGCCCAGTTTTACATATCGGACCGATACGAAATTTTAAAAAATGACCCATATCAGCCAATACCAACATTAATGTCAATATGTCGTGCATCTTTACTAATAACCAATTAGTCGACTATAAAAATAATTATTTGTGGCAGTCCTAATTACCACTACTGCGCATGTGTTTCAAGGACAGAAAGGCAGATGTGGCAGTGGAAGGTGCCACAGCAGTTTGAGAGAAAAACAAAGTTAGAATATAAAAACAACGCATCAACTATTAAATTAGTCAACGATTTTAATAGTTGACAATAATCCTGACTGTTGGAATAATCGTGATAGCCCTAGTCTAAACACGAGTTCCTCTTTGATACTTATCACACCATTAATTTCAGTGACCAACCACTTCTATGTACCATCCAAAATAAGGGGATTCAAGCTACAAAGATGACTTTACCTGACCTTCAGCTTTGACCTTTGACCCCAAAATGTTTTCAGACCTCTGTTGGGCCAAGAATGTTAATTTTGACTGAAATCAATAGCTGTTCAGGAACAACACAAGACAGTGTAACGGTCACCCTGTAACACACAGATGGACAACCAAAGAACAAACTGCCTCTGTGGCAGAGGCAGTTTGTTCAGACCATTTATTTTTCCCATGGCAGGCAGCGCCACTGTAGTCCCATCCTGGAGTGACGACGGCAGCTTTAAGGAACATATAGAGTAAAGTTACCTGCCTTCACTTTGTCCTCAATGGACCACCCAAAAAATCTGTTCTCATTTCCTTAAGGCGTGAGTCAGTTACCAAATTTTAAACACTGTCATAACCAAATGTTTCAGTCCTACAGTTTTAAGTAGGATCCCAAAGACAGAACCTTGTGTTTACATCACCCTCTCCCCATCAATGAAGTGTTTTATGTGGGCATTTTGGTTATAATCTAATTAAACGTTGATTTAAAATCCAGGCTGTACTGCAAGAATACCAAGGTGTACCAAGGTACTTTTCCAGCCAACGTTGCATAATGTCCAATAAATATGAGCTTCAATTAAGAGGAGTATGTAACTACGTAGGCCTGTCACAATAAACAATAAATCAATTAATCGTATGATAAATTAAAGTGAAGACAATAATTTTAATTTGCATGCTTCTCTTCCTGTTTCCCTCTTTTTTACTTCTTAGCGTAGAGAGCAGTGAACTCTGGTGTCAGGTATTTGTACTTGATTGGTCTCCTAACCTCTGTAACATGAAAGTCTGTGAACAGGCATTTAGCCAGAGGAGTGTCTTCAGTTTTCTGACAGCTGGCGACGCCTTGGGATTGCTGACAGTTGTTTTGTAAATTTTAATGTAAAATTCCATAAACATTGGTTGTCATATCATTATATTAGTTTAAACTATAGGGATGCACGATATATCCGCACTAATGTCGGTATCGGTCCGATATGTAAAACTGGGCAGATATTACCGTCCGATATTGATTTCCCATTTTTTATCTTTGTGTTTGTGTTTTGGGAGAGGAGATGGTTGGTTTAGCAGCATCTGTTTGATCATAATAGTGATATTGATGTTGTGTAACCAGAAATAACTGAAGTAGAGCCTGTCAGAGGTCTGCTTGTTTATTTACAGTATCAAAAAAAGACCCAAGTGTGTATATGTTTAATATAATTTGTGTGTTTGTGTAATATTGGTAAATATTGGTTATCGGTCATAACAACAATAATCAAATTGGGTATCGGTTGAAATTTTTAAATCAGTGCATCCTTAGTAGGGCTGGGTAATAAATTGATTTAGTTGATTAATTAGAATTTGCCATTTATAAAGATTTAATTTAGGGAAAATCTAGATTTTCTTCTCACCAGTGCACTCTGGGGCTTCTGTAGTTCAGAGGTCAGCCCACCTGTCCCTCATGATGCTTGGTACATGACATAGCAAAATAGATTAAAATCAAAAATCGAATTTGGGATGAAAAAAAATCGTAGATTTTTGTTTGGGGCCACATCGCCCTAACCCTAGTTTAAACTGGTCTCCAACCATATTATCATCTATCGCAACAATTTCCGAGACAATTTATCATCGTCCAGTAAAATGTCTTATTGTGACAGGCCTATGACTACGGTACTAAGAATTGAACAGTTAACACCTTTTTTGCTGAGCCGTACTAAATGTAGGTTGTTGTCGAATTTTCAGGCAAAAGTGACGTCTCTGGTGGAAGATTGGAAGAATCTGTCGAGTCACGATAAAAAGGTTTGACACTCAGTTATTACAGGTTATTAACATCTTTCTTGTGTGTTCAGGCTGGTTTATTGTGTTTTCCTCTCCCTCCTGTTTCAGGTGTACGAACAACTAGCTGAGGATGACAAAATCCGTTACAAGAATGAGATGGAGTCGTGGGAGAAACAAATGGTGGAGATTGGACGAGAAGATGTGCTCCGGGTGTTAAAAAAGAAAAAGTCTTGTGCTGAAGCTCCCAAAGTCAAAAAACTAAAAAAGTCCAAGTCCAAATCAGCGCAGAGGACCACAGCTGGAAAGGTAGCAGGAAAACGCTCAGCAAAATCTGTTTCCACCGAGAAGATATAAACAGGTTTATCAAGGAGTTGAGATGAATGTTTGTGACATCTGAAGAGTTCGGATGATGCACAATTATGTTTTCTTTTTTATATCCCACTTTTTTATACATAGTTCCTTGATAGTGTCTAATTTCTGCAGGGCAAAACTCGCAGTGTAAAAACTGACTAGTATTTCGTTTGTCTGTACAAGAACAATTACGACAAATAAAGCTTGACTGATATATTTTGACACAATGTGAGTTTATCTCTGTGCATTTATAAACATCGCTTTTTTGTGTTTAATCCATGGCATAAAGCAGAATCTGACTTCGGGGTTAAAAACATGAAATCATCCGTCCAGCAAACCCTAACTTTAGTTGTCTGCAATGTTAAAGAATCATAAACCTGAACTATTTGTTTCAGTAATAATGTGAAGATTGACTTGTTCTGTATTTGTTGTTAATTCAAGTAAATTCTCCAGAACCTACAGCACTCAGACTTCCTGTCAGTATGTTGACTTCTTAACAGCAGAAACTGTTTCTGACCTTTGACAAACAAAACATGAGCTTTTCTAAAGACAGGAACGTTGAACTCATTTCCACCGAGGGCCTCCTGAACATTATGGTGGCCCTCAAAGGGCCAGTTGTAATTAACTTCGATGTGTCATGTTTAACTTCAACTAAACAAATTGTCACGTTCAGCAATGTCTGAGCTCTACCTGGTATTTCCTGGATTGAAACAGCGTCGACTGACTAAATGAAATTAATCAAAAACGCACAATAAGGTTGCCTTCAGGCCCAGGCCTCCCTTGAAAACGAGATCTGTGATCTCAATGGGATTTGCCTGGTTAAACAACAATAAATTAAATTTAAAAAAATAAGACAGAAATACTATTAAAAGTAAGAGTTTAACTCACTGTTGAGTTGTGACTAAGTAAAAAAGTAAAATATCACGTTTATGTTTTGAATGTAAAAACAAAAGTTACAATTAAAAAATACTTGGTAAAATTACAATGTACGTAACAAAGTAAACGTACTTTGTTTCTATACATTTCTGTAAATGCTCATTCAACATTTTGCAGACCAGTTCCCCTAAAGCACTAACTGAGGTTTATAAATGTTACTGATCAATGTTAATGTTAACTGAGGGTGAAAACTGATGCACATTTTGTTCATATATGTGTCACTGATCCACCAGGTGACAATATATGAACCAAATATGGCTGTTGAATGTCAATAAGTCTGAAGAGAGCAACATGTTGACTCTGAAGAATATGTTCATGGGTTTACTGAGTTATTTTAGTTGTTTTAGAATTACCTTTTGCTAAAACTTTCAGTGCATTAGTGCTTTAGAATTAGGGGACCTAAATATTTGAGTTAGTGCTTTAGGACAAGTGGAACTAATATTTAGAGTAGTGCTGCCCACCAGTGTTGTATAAAGTACCTCAAAGAGATACTTGAGTAAAAGTACAAGTATCTTCTCATAAAAATACTTTGGTAAAAGTTAAAGTCTTCTCTAAAAATATTACTTGAGTAAAAGTCTTAAAGTATCTGATATTTTTTGTATTTAAGTTTCAAAAGTAAATTTTTGACACAAAATCTACTTAAGTATTAAAAGTAAAAGTACTGAGTAAAAGTGAGCAGTTAGATTTTACTAAATGACATTTGTTGGGAGGTGACTTCTCCAAAACATTTTTCCTAACGGTGTGCAGCTGTGATGGGTTGTGTACAAGCTAACAGTGTGTCAGTGTAGGGGTCACCTGGAGTCAAATTATCAAGGAACTATGTTGGACTCTCAGTCCTCTGATGGGCCTTCTAATGGACAAGAACTCTGTTCCACTTAGAACTGTATTTAGGCCACCCAAGGCCACTTTCCTTCTAAATCAGATAAAAACAGAAGAATCTTCTCTTATTTGATTTAGTGTTCTCTTAACTGAAAGTATTACACATTTTGATAATCAGAGAATGTTTATCAAAGTTACAGGAGAAGAGAGGACAGATCTCTTTTCTCCCTCAGTATGATCTATGTATGGTTTTTCTGTGGGAAAAATTCTTATTGAACTAAAATAATCTTTATGGTTTAAGTTGATGAAATATCAATGT